TGGTTAACGAAGATGAATGCAGAGACTGGCATGGCCATGGTAGGGATGGTGTGGCATAGCTTCCATTCCTGGAACAGAGCCAACAAGGCGTGGGACTCCACAAGTGTTGATGGTTGCTGTGGGAGTAAGGCTTGTTTGTATAATAGTGTACAAACTTTCTTTTTTTAAAATTTTTTCTCAAATCATAATTAATTCACACAGGGGTATAAACACAGAAAGGCAGGACATGGGGAAGGGAATGACACTGGAGTGTGGGTGCTCAGTTCCTCATTTGAGGAATGCCCTCTCACCAAGGTCAATGACTCCATGATAATCAGAGATGACATGAGTCTGGGAAGCCAGAGTGTGTCAAATATCTCAGCAAAATAATAGAAGGCTGTGACCTTCCGGACACCCCTTAAGGCTGTGGGAAAGAAAGCTGAAAACATGAATTCAAAAATACATAATTTCTAAACTCTGAAAACTATAAGGATGCAATATGGACGGTATAAGGAGCTTCACAGATGTGAAGGAACAGAAGCAGCTGCAGTATGAGCCAGCTCGTCTGAAAGATACTAAGGAAGGAGATAAAGAGATTCAGGGAGTGGTGATTGATCTCAGGGCAAGATCCTACCCAGATAAGGTTTTTTTTTGTTTGTTTGTTTTTTGTTTCTGGTTTGGTTTGGATTTTGTTGTTTATACTTACAAATGCAAGAAGATTCCTGAGTTCAAGGTCAGCCTGGGTCATAGGAAGTTTAAGTCCAGACCCAGGCATGGTCAGAATGGTAGTTTCAGGGTGGGTTCCAACCCAGCTATCTTGTCTGTGCTTGTACTTGTGATCTCTTTCTAAGAATCGAGGGGATGGGGTCATGGGGTGCTGACTAATGGCATAATCAAAAGGAGACATGGGATAATGACTAAATTTATATGTAGAAAAAAGACTGGGCTTTTGATCTTCAAGACATAAGCTATCCAGAGAGTTTTTAGAATAACAAGAAAATGCTGTCTCAAGCAAGGACAGAGAGGGTAAGGGAAAGAGAAGAAGAAGGAGAGGAAGAGGAAAAGGAAGAGGAAGAGGAATATGCGGACAGAGAGAGGTGGAGACAGAGACAGACAGACAGACAGACAGACAGCTTGGACCCACCATTTGACTTCTAGTCATTTGTTTTGCTACTCCCAGATACTTCTTTTCTCAGAAATCCATCTCTAAAAGCAGAAGTTTGTCCTTGGCAGATGAAGGCAGTGAAGAAACAGGATCATAATGGTCAAAGGGTAAGAAATGGTTGCAGTTATGTGGCATGAATAAATTTGACTGGGAGTTAATAATGTACAGTTCGGGGCTATAATTTATAATATTGTATTGTCTAATAGAAATGAGGTTGGAGCATAAACTTTAATGGACTCATCATATACATAAAGGTAACTGTGAGGAAGTGTATGTTTTAATTAGTCTGATAATGGTGATCAGTTCCTTCAAGATGTTATGTGGTACTTCTAGGCTATACAAGTTTGTATTAATATGTGAACTTGGATTGTGCCTAGGGAGTAGCACAATTTCAGTAATCTTCTGCATGCATAAAAAAGGAAATAAAGGATATAAGATAAATCATCTTAAATGTTTAACTCATATATAATGAAAGACTCTGAGTGCCATAACAGATGCTGGTACTTCCATGTATATTTCTGCTCTTTTCACAAGAGTTAAAGAATGGAATCAGCCTACATGACCATCAACAGATGAATGTATAATGAAAATATAGTACATGTGTACAGTGGAATTTTATTTAGCAGTAAGGAAAGTAACATTATGAAAATTTTGGAAAATGAGTGAATCTAGAAATTATTATATTGAGATTACCAAGACTCAGAAAGGCAAATACCATGTTCTCTGTCATAAGTGAATCCAGGATTTTATTTATTATATATGTGAATATATACAGTTGTGAAAGTAGAAAGAGAACAGAAAAAGGGAGTTTAAGGCAGTGGTAAGAATAATAGAATATTTTGTGGCTTCAAGTAGAAAAGGACAGCTGGGAGTAGATGAATACACACTGGGATTGGGCAAGATGTTCAAGATAAAGAATATAGAGACAATATAAGAAAATCCATTACTTATACCTAATTAAAAATAAGGATTTTTCAGTTCTCTTATGGGCCAAGGATTTATATGCCTGTTTACTACCACAGAAGGCACAGCTAAATGGCTACCAAAAAGATTAATGAAAAAAATAGATACCTCACAAAGCCAGGCCCAACCATAAATAAGATGAATAACAATTGACATCCATGGAAGAGAAATCTCCCTGAGAACTACCTTCTTTTTCCTTTCTAGGTAAAAATGAATCACCCACGATGTCTACTGTTAAAAGTTCTAATCCAGATGCTGGCCCCCAACCTTCTACTACTCAGACCTTCGACAGTCCATTGACAAGAACATCAAACAGCTAGAGATTGACATCACTAATCTGAAGAAATCCCTCGTTTCACTGTCTGAAGAGACCTCCTAAAATCGTAAAGATCCTTATTGGACTTGATTTACTCTATTACAATAGAAAAGGCTGTGTACAGCTCTTAAAGAAGAAGGTTGCCTTTACATAGACAAGACAGGGATGGTTATAGAGGGCATGAAAAAGGTCAGAAAAGGCTCTGAGAAAAGACAGAGAGAGAAAGAGAAAGACGAGAGCTGGTACAAGAATTGGCTTTCAACCTCCCCATGGTTGTCAACCCTACTTCCTCCCATCTTGGGACCATTAATTGGGTTATTTTTGCTTATTTCTTTTGGTCCCTGGGCCTTTAATAGACTGACTAACTCTGTGATACAACAGATAAATAACTTGGTAGCAAAACCTACTCAGATATTTTATCATAAGTTAGCTATGGAGGACCACGAGAATCAAGATGAGGTTGTTACTCTATCCAGAGTGTTCCCAAAAGCCATCTTCACCCAACCGAAAAGAGGGGACTTCTGCCCCTAGACCAAGCAGAGTGGGGCCACCCAGAACCCCCTCTGACTGACGATCTGATTTCTTGCTTAGGCTTCAAGGCTAATCACTGCAAGGGAATATAAATAATAGTTAAAAATATCTCTCTGGGTTCCCTGAGGGACAAGCCTGACTGCATAGGGGTTGATGTCAAAAGTTTCCTCTCTCCAGGAAAAAGACATCAGGATGGGTATGGCCTCGTGCCTCACTGGACAACGACAGAGGGACCAGAAGCCATTACGAAGTCCCCTTCAATTACTTAGAGAAGAGAGGAGATGTCAGGGGCAGCCCTGCTTACAAACTGAAGGCCTAAAATCAGCCATAGGCCTAAAATCAGCAATAGGCCTGTCATACATGTATACTAACACCAAGTCTTGGGTCTCAGTGGAAAAACATTGAAACAGAGGACTGTAAGTTATTGTAAACAGGAAGCTTTTGTGGAAATTTACCAGCCTGAGTAGTCATAGACCTTGTAAAAGGTAGCCTTGACAGATAATACCAACTTAGATAAGAACAAGTGAATCATAGATAGAGTCATAGTGACCTGTCCCCTGAACCTTCACCCAGCCAATACCCTGTTCTGAAAGATATCTGTACTCCCCCTGAACACCCATGCTCCAGTGTCATCCCCTTCCTCAATCCTGCCTTTTTGTGTTTATAACCCCTGTGTGAATAAGTAAAAATTATATTTGATTTTAAAAAATAAATAAAAACTAAGGGGTTTTACACATTTTCTAATATTTAGACAGTTATATTTTATGAGAATTACACAGATTGTATGATTACAATATCAGTAACTTTTTACAAATGTTAAAGGAAAACATTAAATGTCAGAATCAAACACACTATAAGTATGATTCTTACTGTCTCTTTACTCATTGAATACATGTGTTACATGGTCAATATTTTTGTTTACTGACTGTTGTATCCTCAGTACCCAATACATAGTAGGGATTCTATATGTCTATACCCAATATGTCTCATTTTTCTTTCTTTTTTTAACTTTTTATTGATTCTTGTGAGTTTTACATTATGCAAGTGCTGCAGCTGGTGAGATACAGGGCCAGCTCAACTATTCTCATAACACTGGAGCTGCATCTCTCCACTGTCTCAGGTGACAAGGACAAGAGGAGGAGAGCATCATTCTCTTACCCATATCACCTCTTGGAAAATGAGTGGTGTGACCAACTCACTTTCAGTCTTACTCTCAGGGCTAGTTCATCTCCACCCCTCACCCCCAACCAACATCAGCTCTGACTGTGTGGTGCAGTCAAAGTACAGGGCCTGCTCTCCAGAATGCTGCATTTGGTGAGGGGCAGGAATAATTCTCCAGTGCTCATGACCCTGTGGGCCACTTTCCCAATAGTCAGAATTAGCCCGTCGACTCTCGTGCTCCTGGGGTCAGCTCACCCACACCCTTGCTACCAGGGCCAGTTCCACTGTGCTGCCTCAAGGAGGTATAGGGTCCACTCTCCCAAATGCAACCACAGGTGAGAGGTTGGATCAGCTCTCCAGAATTCCACAGACACTGAGGGGCAAGGCTGGTTCTGCACAGCCCCTGGACATCCATGTGGTTCCCAGCAGGTGGCCTGACCAAGAAAGACCCCTGTTCTCTAGTGGTAATATGAACCATGGACATTAGTATCAATACCTGCCACTATATAGCCAGGGACCTAGTCACAGGCCTCATCTTGGCCCCAGGTGGTGAGTCTGGCCGCTCATAACAGGCTACTCCTCTCCACCCTTGAGTCTCTAGTTCCATCTCTCATCTTAATGTTCAAGCTCTTCCACTTCTCTTTGTCTCACTTCTCTACCACATACTTCTACACTGTGGTGGCTCCTTATATAGGCTGAGTATGTGGCTGGTGGGCCCCTTGGTGACATCTTTTGTCTGCACTGTGGAGTGGAAGCAAGCAGGTGTCTATGGCCCAACTGTTCCATGAACAGTTTGTAAGGTCTGTGGGTGGTATGGTGGTCCACTAGACTGTCTTCCTCTTCCCACTCTAAGCTACCAGCATTTGATTTGATTCAATTTGATTTTTATGTGTCCTGGGTATAAAACAGCTTCGGTCATCAAGTCAGGGATCAAGCTAGAATGAACAAAGGATTGCCACCAGCTCTCTGTCCCAACTGATCGAAGAATAAGACCACCCACAAGGTGTCTCTTTGCCCATTGTCAGGGTGTAAATGTAGGTTTTATATTTTAATTAACACTTAGAGAATATCATACAAAACATTTTGATAATGTTGACCCCCACAACCTCCCACTCCTCTAAATTCACTCCTTCCCATACTCTCCCAGCTTTGAGTCCTCATTATTGCAAAACCCATCCAGCCTACTTTGTGATGCCGAGATAGTACTGCATGATCATCCTACTACTGCCTACTTGAGTTGGATGACCTACAAGTGACCATGTCCTTAAAGAAAACTATCTCTTATTCTTTAATCAGGTATCACTTGCTAATAGCTCCTCAGTTGAGGGCAGGACTTCAGGTCTACATTCTCCTTCTGTGCTCAGGTTTGATCTGTTTTCAGTTTGCATACATCTTACTTATTAGTGCTGTCACAACTTCTCTGAGTTCAACTGTGCAACTATCCTGTTGTGTCAGGAAACATTTGTTTCACTGTAGGCATCCACCACTTCTGACATTTTTTCCTTAATTTTAATTTAATATTTTCATACAATATATTTTATCACATTTTCCATCTCTTAACTCCTTGCAGATCCTCCCATCTTCTTCCCCACCTAGCTTCTTTCTCTCTCTTTCTTTCGAGCAAACAAAACAAAAACATGAAAATATATCAAAACCAGAACCCCAAAATCAAAAATACAAACTAAACAAAAATAAAACAAAAATATACTAGACAGCTATTAAAAACAAAAACATCATAAAATTTACAGGCAAAAGGATAAAACTTTAGAACATCATCCTGAGTCAGGTAACACAGAGCCAGAAAGACATGTATGACAGGTATCTGCATAACTGACTCCTGAGAGGCCTCACTCAGCAGCAGATGGAAACAGATGCAGAGACCCACAGCCAAACATTAGGTAGAGCATAGAAATCTTGTGGAAGAATGGGTGACAGAATTGAGTGAGCTGGAGGGATCAAGGACACCACAAGCAGACCTACAGAATCAACTAACCTGGCCCCATGGGGTTCACAGAAACAGAACAACCAACTAAAGAGCATGCAGGAGCTGGACCTAGCCCGGACCTAGCCCCCTGACACACATTTGCAGCAGATGTGCAGCTTTGTCTTCATGTGGGTTCCCTAACAATTGGAGTGGGGATTGTCTTTTACTCTGTTGCTGCCATTGGATCCCCTTCTCCTACCTGAACTGCCTGGCTGGGCCTCAGTGGGAGAGGAAATGCTTAATCTTTCTGGGACTAGATGTTTCAGGGTGGTGTGGTACCCAAGGAGACTTCCCGAACTCTGAGGAGAAGGTCAAGAGAAGGGGAGAAGATTTGTAATGGCAAGACTGGGAGAAGAGAAGGGGACTGCAATTGGGATGTAATGTTAATAAAAAATAAATTATGGAGAGAAAGAGAAAGAAATCTTTGACTATTACTGACTTTCTATCCTTCTTCCAGTATGCTTCCTGAGCCTTGAGGGGAGAAAGTATGATATAAGTGTCCCATTTAGGGATAAGAATTTTGCCATCACTTATTCTCTGCATGTTGACCAGTTGTGGCTCTAGATGTCAATTGTTATCTATTTACACATTGACATAAATGGTAACTGACACTCGTTTCCATCACCATTGCCAAAGAAATGCAAAATTGGAATAAAAACCAATTTCATTCAAGAACTATTGAAATTGAAGTAACAAAACCTCAATATAGAATAGATCTCAATTCCAAATTCTGCATTAATGAACAAGAAGTAGCCATGGACAAGTGGTGGAAACTAAGAGGAAGCAAAGAACATAAGGAAAGATTCTGGCCACACTGTCTTGACAGAATTGGAGTCTTCATTGAAGTCAGGCAAAAACTTAGGTTGACAGAGGATATGGAATTTGATGAGACAACAAATGGGGAAATATTGGGGATACCAAGTTGTATTGGACATAAGTTTCCAGCACACAATTACTTACCTATACCCCTAAAGGGACAAGCTGCCTTGCTTCAAGTTCTTAGGCCTTGTGGAACAGAGAATCAAAAAGAGAAATTATAATGTCTCTTGTATTGTTATTAAATGTGACCAGTTATACAGACTCAATCATGGACTGGTCTAGAAATCAATCCAATGTTGGAAATGACAGTCTTCATTTGGAATTCTGGTTCTGGACATTTTCAGAGACATATATGGAAATTAGCTGCAGTTCTCTATGATGTTATGTTAGCAAGAGAAAGTTGGGACAGGTTCTGGATTTTAAACAGGTGTTAGCACATGTGTTAAGGCTTTTTTAATTGTCAAGTTAAAAGCACTTTTGTTTCTTCTACAGTATTTAATGTAAGTTGCACTGATTATACATCTTCTAATTGTGTTTGTGTTTTGAAATCTAGCATGTCAGTTACAGAGGTCTATCAACCAGCTTTTGTCTTAGTGCCCTGAGTATCACAGAACCTTGATATTATAAAAATATCTTGCAAGTAGTAGAGGAAATGAGTCAGGCTTTAAGCAGAAGCAAGACGGTAGTGGCCTTGATTATTGCTGGTATAACAGCTTTAATTACATTAATTGCTAGCACCACTGCTTCTGCAATTGCTGTGACACAAGAAGTTAAGACAGCTACTTTTGTTAATCATTTAGCAAAAAATGTTACTAATGTGTTGAATATACAAGAAGATTTAGATAGGCATTTGGAAGAATGGATTGATGCTCTATTATCCTATTCAAATTATTGGAAGGAGGTTCAGAATTTAAGGGTAAGGAGCCATCTTGACTGTCATGCCAAATACCATTGGATTCATGTTAGTTCTGATATTTACAGTGGTAGTCATTATAATTAGGAAGAAGTTCAATGACACTTGTGACACTTGTGGTGTATTTGGTAAAATTCTAATACCTCTCGGAATGTTTTAACAATACATAGAGAGCTTATGAATTCCAAGAATGCTGCTCTGCTGAGTGTTGATGCCATAGATAGTACAGATAAAATTACCCATGGCCTGAGGTCAGTATTTCTATTTTGGTCAAGCTTCAAGAATAGCATATATAGCTTGATCATGCTAGCCCTTTTTGTCCTGGAAATACTTTTATTCCTGACCATTGTGTTAAAGACTTTCTTTAACAACATCAACATGTTGGCCGCCAAAGTACACGGCTTGAACCTGAGAATGAACCCCCAGACAGAGCTATATGTATTTCCTATCCATGCCTCGATTCTTTGATGTATACACATGCACAAAGAATAGCAAAAAGGCATACAATGTTGCTAAACCCCAATATGGGCTCTCTACAATGCCCTGTGTGCAACTAAAATTTGTATGCATTACTCAGTCTGGTGGTTTTCTTTTCTTTCTATTTTACGATGTGACAATGTTGTTGAAAATATTATACATTCTGCTGATTTCCCTACAAAAAATAATAAGAAAAGTAGCAAGGGATTACATTTGACAACACCACTGGATGACAGCGAACATCTTCTCTAAGACTGTGCTGCTATTATGGCAATGACCTATAACTTGAGGAAGAGAAAAAGTAACCCACCCATGTTCTATTCTAAAAGTGATGAAGTGCTAAGTTTTTAATGAAAACTGGGAATAAAAATGAAGATCTAGGCAATACATTGGAAGAGTGGATCCACAGGACATAGAAGCCCCCAAGTGCTACCTTCATCCTAAAGCAAGGAACTATCTATCATGAACTGAAAAGTGAAGATATCTATGAATATCCAATAGGTTGAACAGAAAAATATAATAAAATCCATGTTATTAAAATATTAGACATTTGTGATGATAAAACTTGGACTCATCATGAATAGAGGAGACTACAGACAAGCTTGCCCAGGTCATTGACGTCAGAATTCATATGACAGATATCTACCACCCTGAGAAAGTATCACTATTCGCACTCCAGAAAGCCATTGATCAGGCTGAGGAGAAAAACCTTCTTAGAGGCAGTTCTGCCAGGCTGAACTGTATCACAAGCAACTGTGAGTTTGAACAGTTTGTGACAGGCCTGTGTACTTACACTTTGAAAGACCTGAATTCCCCATTAATCCTTTATTATGCTATCAAAAAGACCTGAGAAACAGGCATGGAGAGCCAGGAGCCTCTTTTCTGAGTGGTTTCATAAGCCAGCAATTTGATATCACTGTGGGGATTCAGATCAGTAAGACAACTGCATGAATTTGTTATTCTTTGGTGATTGTTCTACTCTTCCTTCAGAAATTCTCATCAAAGATAACGTTATAGCATGTACACCCCCTCACGTGTGATTTTAGTAATTTATCCATATGATCAGGTGACATATGACTGAAGAGTAAATACAGAAGGCTTTCATAAACAGCAAATTGATCCAAACACAGCTACACTTATTGCAGACTGAAGGCTCCTTTCACATGCCTGAGAATTGGTGTCTTTATTCAGTAATGGTAAATAGGCTTGTTTTTGTTTGGGACATTACATAATATTCCAATTTCAGTTTTAGATTTATTAAACCATTTTTAAATTTCTTTTCTTTTGTCAATGTGAATGAAACACACACACACACATATTTACACACCTCCTCATTTATTTTTTTGTAACTATAAACTCAATATTTTTCACGATCAATCAATTGAAGACCCACCTAAAAGAAAGAAACATTTCAACAAAGCTGTTATTCACATTATCAATAGAGATTAAAAGCAGCAGTGCTGTGCTGTATTGTTTGTGCTTCCATACTGCAGACAAGTGTCCTTCCTTATCTTCCATGACTCGTACATGTTGGTACTGTTTGCAGGTTTGCTCTGACTGCCATAGAGCTGAGGTGTTGTTTAGCAGTTCTAAGCACGGGAAGAAGGCAGCAAGTCGTGCAGAGAAGATGATGCATAGGTCTATCCCCGGTCCAACCCTGAATGATTCTACAGCTTACTGTGAGCTTAGAATCAATGAATCTACAACATATACAGAATAAAATGTCCTTAAACAGAAGCATATAAGACAAGGCTATGCATTCATCAACTGCCAAGTACGCTGTCACAAAGGTGCTCAATGGAACCTCACCCTGTAGTTTCTCAGAAAGTAGGAGTT